AGAGGTGGCCCATTGATAGGCATTCCCCATCAGCCCTGCCGCCTCTTCACCAAGCCCACTCTGCCCTCTTCCCCACACCTGGCTTTGCTCTTTGTTCCCCCATGGAGAGGCAGAGAAAACAATGGTTCTGAGCATGGACACTGGGTCAGAGAGATAGGGTTGGAATCCCAGCTCTGCCACTTGTTGGCTGGGTTACTAAAGCTCTCTTAGTCTCAGTGTCTTTATCAGTCTCAGTGTCATTCTCAGTGAAATGGGAATAATTGTAGGACCTGTGTGAGGATTTTATTATTCAATGACTGCATTAGCCCCTCAATCAATGCTGACTTACAAGCTTCCTCTCTCCTTGTGTCTGTCTGTCTCCTCTCAGGAGGGGTGCTGTCATCCTGGTGTCCTCCATTTCTGCTTATATACCACGTGTGGTGAGTGCTTACTTCGTGTGTCCTGGTTGGGAAGGGGTGTGGTGGTTCCCAGAGCCTGGGGCAGAACCCCCTCTTACTCTTGCTGACCTGGGCTGACCTGGGGTCCATGTGGCTACTGGGTCCCTCACACCCAGTTTCTGTTCTCAGACCAGGTTGAGGGTGTGTCTGAGCTCTGGGCTTGGGCCAGGTGTGATCCTCTGCAGGTGAGAAATCCAGCTGATGCTTTGTTTCACACCCGTATCCTCCTAATCACTCTTAATTCTGTGCCAGGAGCTGGGTGCCTACAATGTCAGTAAGACAGCCCTGCTTGGCCTCACCAGGACGCTGGCATTAGAGTTGGCCCCCAAGGGCATCCGGGTGAACTGCCTGGTCCCGGGAATGATTGAGACTGACTTCAGCAAAGTGGTGAGCATTGGGGCATGGCCCCTATTTTCTAGCCTGGCTCCGTGAAGGCCCTTCCCAAGGACTATGGGAGAAAGGTGATAAGCATCCTTATACCTGAGGTCCTCACTGTCCTTGAACTCAGCCGTGACCGAGTCCATCAACACTCAGAAGGGCAGAGCTGCCATGTGTGTTGTCAGGTCACTAACTCGGGGCCCTCCCATTACCTTATTTTAGCATCACTGACTCTTTCGTCTCTTCCTTTTGCTCAGTTCCATAAGGATGAGGCTTTCTGGAACAACTTCAAAGAAAACCATCAGCTGCAGAGGCAAGTGGGGTTTGGTGCTTTAGTGGTCTGGGTACAGTTATAGAGGGTCGACTGAATCTAACCCAAGAGCAGACCTCTTCCTGTGTATTGGCCATTCCTTTTCTGAATTCTGGGTTCCACACAGCCCTGGAGGGTGCAAGTGGTCCTGCTGTATCCACCCTGTGCCCTCCTGGAGCCCAGGCCCACCTGTGTGGCCGGTTAACCCCAGAGCAGCAGATCCAGAATCTGAGATCACTGACGCTGTGTTCTGTGCTCCTTCCAAACAGGATCGGGCAGCCAGGCGACTGTGCAGGTCTCGTGTCCTTCCTGTGCTCTCCAGATGCCAGCTACATCACCGGCGAGAACATTGTGGTGGCTGGCTTCTCCCCTCGGCTCTGATGGGGCTCAGGGNCCACAGGAGGGATCCCTGGTGCCACTTTAGTCCTGGCTGGCAATCTGTCGAACCCCTGGGCTCAGTGTCTGCATCTTTCCTTGTGAGTTCCTCTCTTACTTCTGCCCTGTTCCCAGACCTATCTGATAGAATTTCCAGACAGAGGGTTGGGGACCCTGATGCCTGATCCCAGTTCCATGTTTTAGTCACAGACAGGATCAGCATGGGCACCTAGCTCCCAGAACAGCAATTCTCTGTTGTGCCTCCCTCCTCGTGTTAGCCCCAGGAAAGCTCAGAGCCAAGTCTGCAATAAACTGGCATGTATGTTGGCCCTGACAACATGTATTTTTGTGAATGTAGAATAGAATAGTACTCAGTCCTTACCATGTGCTGTGATTTGTGGGCACAACCTGATTCTAGTTATTCTTATTTTTCTACTCTTAGTTTTCCTAGTGTCCATTGCTTCATACATAATGCCTCTTTGTTTTGCTTTATGCTGTTGCATTCTTTTATATTTTTATTTTTTTTAAAGATTTTTATTAGGGAATTGGGGAGGGAAACAGTGTTGAGGAATTGGGGAAAGGGAACTGTGGTTTTCCAGGACCCATCTGCTCCAGGTCAAGTTGTTCTTCAATCTTAGTTGTGGAGGTTGGGAGCTCAGCTCTAAGTCGAATCGCCACTTTCAATCTAGTTGCACGGGTGGGGGTGGGGGATAGTCCACCATCCCGCATGGGAGTTGAACCAGCAACCTTGTTGCACACTGCGCCATCTGGTCACCCGTGGGCAGCTCGCGGTTGATGTGCTCAAGGCGCTGTGTTCAATCTTAGTTGGGGGGCGGGGAGCACAGCCCACCATCCCATACGGGTGTCGAACTGGCAACCTTGCTGCTAAGAGCACGTGTGCTCACCAGCTCAGCTGCAGCTCAGCTTGGGCACAGCTTACTGGCCCATGTGGAAATCGAACTGGAAACTCTGTTGCTCAGAGCTCGTGCTCTTAACTAACTGAGCCACTCGGCCGGCCCCTATGCTGTTGCATTTTGAATATGCCTTACATTCTATTGGGACAAGGCAAGAGCATAAGGAAATAAAAACACAGAAAGGCCAAGATGACTCTTCCAGAAATCTCCCTTGCTCTCAGCCCCTAGTACTTTCCCTCCTGATGTTCTGCAATCCTTTTTCAGTGTCTTCTGCTTATAGCTTCTATTTGCATGCCTATTTTCTTTAAAAGGCCAGAACAAATCCTTCCTTCACTCCTGTTCTGAGCAGTTCACATATTCAGGGCTCTGCTCACAGGCCTGTCCCTTAGCCTGCCTGCCTACTAAACCATTAGAAGTCAGAAACACCCAGGTCAGAAACGGGATTAGTGTCTCCAATCTGCACACATCTGGGTTTGCTGCACAAATTGTAAGGACTTCAGGGACTTATGAAAATAGGCCTGGGCTGACCGTGTCTGTCTCCATCCTCTACCTGCTCTGATTTCAGATCCTGAGCGTGAATGTGAAGGCCCCAGCCCTGCTGCTGAGCCAGC